TCTCTCTCTCTCTCTCTCTCTCTCTCTCTCTCTCTCTCTCTCTCTCTCTCTCTCTCTCTCTCTCTCTCTCTCTCTCTCTCGGTTTGTGTCCGTTTCTTGCCTCTGTCCGTATGCCTGTCTCTCTGACTGTCTTCATTTGTCAGTGTGTGTCTGTTGGTCTGGACGTGTGACTGTCGCTTCCCGTCACTCACGTGATCAGTGAGTCGACGGCATGAGGAGACAGACGTGACAGGTCTGTGTCGGGCAGGTGGGTGGGAGAGGGGATGGGAGGGGGGGTGGAAGTAGAAGAAGGGAGGGGGGAGGTAGCGGGAGGGAAAGAGGGAGGGAGGGAGAGAGGGAGGGGGTGGGGTAGGAAGGGAGTGTTGGAGGGAATGGAGGGAGGAAGCAGGCGAGGACGAAAAGGGAGGGGGAAGGGACGGAGGGCAATGAGGGAGGGAGTGAGAGAAGGGAAGGAGACTTTTCTGAAGGATCATGGTGTCTAAACGATCTTATTTATGATTCTGAAGAAGTTCGTAAATAGCCGTGTTTATGGTGGTTAAAGTAGTTAATGTTTTAAGCGGGAGTAGACGACTTCGGGCTTCTGTTAGCGGGCTTAGAGCTTTCCTCCTTCCCATAGTTCGTGCCAAGCCTTACCGTACTATTTTTTTTTTGGGGGGGGGGGAACACGACCCGCCCATCAGATAACAACCAGGTCCTCAATTACTGCTGGGTGAACAGGGGCGAACAGTTAAAGGATTGGCGCCTATTCAATCGTCCCTGGCCAAGTATCGAACCCAGACGAAGTCACTTTCGAGGTTCGGGGCGAGTGTCACTAACTACACCATTGTGATGGTGATGGTATGAATGGTGGTAAAATAACTGTGGGTGGTGGTAGTGACGGTGGGTGGTGGTAGTGACGGTGGGTGGTGGTGGTAGTGACAGTGGGTGGTGGTAGTGACGGTAGATGGTGGTAGTGACGGTAAGTGGTGGTAGTGACAGTGGGTGGTGGTGGTGACGGTAGATGGTGGTGGAGGTAGTGACAGTGGGTGGTGGTAGTGACGGTAGGTGGTGGTAGTGACAGTGGGTGGTGGTGGTAGTGACGGTAGGTGGTGGTGGTGGTGGTAGTGACGGTAGATGGTGGTAGTGACGGTAGGTGGTGGTAGTGACAGTGGGTGGTGGTGGTGGTAGTGACAGAGGGTGGTGGTGGTAGTGACGGTAGGTGGTGGTGGAGGTAGTGACAGTGGGTGGTGGTAGTGACGGTAGGTGGTGGTGGTGGTAGTGACAGTGGGTGGTGGTGGTAGTGACGGTAGGTGGTGGTGGTGGTAGTGACAGTGGGTGGTGGTAGTGACGGTAGGTGGTGGTAGTGACGGTAGGTGGTGGTGGTGGTAGTGACGGTAGGTGGTGGTGGTGGTAGTGACGGTAGGTGGTGGTGGTGGTAGTGACGGTAGGTGGTGGTGGTGGTAGTGACGGTAGGTGGTGGTGGTGGTAGTGACAGTGGGTGGTGGTGGTAGTGACACACTTCAGAGCAGCAGCAAGAATGATGCACGACTCTTTAGCCTGGTAAAAACGTCACTCTGGTGGGCCCGGCCGGCGGTGACATTTGGCGTGCTGTTCGCTGTGATAATTGTTATAGATCAGTGGACCACGAGACTATTGTTGCATCAGGCAAAACCTTTGGCAAAGTGGAAAGTTATTTCGAGCAATAAGCTAAAGTTAAGGAATACTTTGGGGTCGCTACCTTACTGAACAATACCTTTCACTGCTGGTCCCACCGGTCGGAAACCACAGGGGGGGGGGGGGGGGGGGTGTCAGAGATCAAGAGGTTGCCGCAGTGCCACTGGAGTGCCAATGGCTGCTCGTACGGCTGGAGGAGTTCTTCTTAGATTATATACCCCCCGCGATAGATCTATCTGGGTGTGGGGGTTATATCAGGTGCTTGTGGAGGATCTGAGTGTGAGTGGTCGAGCTGTATGGCCAATCAGACGCCAACAGATGAGGCCTGTTGTCATTGTGTTTAGATTCAGCTAATTGGAATAAAAATTTCCATGTTGCCCGGGCTATAGTGAACCTGTAATGTTGAGGCTTGGTTTATGAAGCACATTAAGGGAGCCGGTCGGCCGAGCGGACAACACACTGGACTTGTGATCCTGTGGTCCCGGGTTCAATCCCGGGCGCCGGCGAGAAAACAATGGGCAGAGTTTCTTTCACCCTATGCCCCTGTTACCTAGCAGTAAAATAGGTACCTGGGTGTTAGTCAGCTGTCACGGGCTGCTTCCTGGGGGTGGAGGCCTGGTCGAGGACCGGGCCGCGGGGACACTATAAAAAGCCCCGAAATCATCTCAAGATAACCTCAAGAAGGTGAGGACGGTCCTCTGGTGGCCATCTATGGAAGTTTTTGTTCTTGTTCTACCACAGACGTGGCCATGCATTTATGAAGTTAGGCAGCTTAATATATATTTTCTTCTGTCCTCCATGGACAGGATATCTTGGACAACAAAGTGTAGTGAGTGAATGAGCACTCAACCCCCAAACAGCAGGTGATTGTAATGCTTTAACAATGCTTACCTGCATACATATATTTGCGTCTGTCCTACATAATCAGGATTCGAGTACTATATTTACTTATAGTACAGTTAATTATTGAGTACGCAATTACAGAATGTGATTAATGTTCGTTTACAAAGGTGGAATGTAATTCTAACTGGCTTACACATACAGATAATACATATATACACATGCACACACACACACACATTATATATATATATATATATATATATATATATATATATATATATATATATATATATATATATATATATATATATATATATTTTACGACTCCCTTACTTTGACAGGGGTAAGATAACTGCTATATAAAGTAGCGTATTATTAAGTAGTGAACCACAGAAGGTGATTAAGGTACTTTTACAAACTCAAGTTATAATTACATCCTATATATATATTAACTGATGTCAATCTAGGGTACAGGTCCAGTATATTTATCCAGTATACAGGATGATATACTGGTACATATACAGTACAGTATGGATGATATACAGGATGGTATACTGGTACAGGTTCCAGTATACCGATAATATTCACAGAGTTTAGCATATCTCACGCCAGGAGGAGGAGGAGGAGGGGGGGGGGGGATGGGGGTCAAAAATTCAGTCAGGTATGGGACATTAAGATCCCTACCCCCTCCCCTTATCTACCTTCTGCAGGGACGCCCCCCCACATGTGACTGCGACACTCGGGCCACCCTTGACCTGTCCACACACCTGACGCGCCGACGTCCGCCTTTCCCTCTCGGAGGCGGCAAACATGCACGAGTACACCCACACAGTCTCACTCTCCCCCGCAGCCTCACCTACCCCCGAGGCGACACACTCTAACCCCCAAGTTAGTCAGCCGGCCGACCTACAGCCGGAGGGACGTCCCTGTGAGACAGGTCAAGGTGTCGCTCCCACCTCTTGTGTTGCGGCGCTGTGATCACCTCTTCTCTAACTACCGAAGGGGAAAAGATAAAAGTAGAAGTGACGAATGATCAAGATATGGGATCGTGGAACTTTGCTCATAGCGAGTTTTCGTCTCATCGCATGTGGTTAAGCCGGTACTGTGTCTGGTCTTGAAATGAAGTGCGAGACTTGTAAAGAAGCCAAGAATAAGGTGTTGGCGTAGTGCCTAGCGACATATACTTGTGTGTGTGTGTGTTAGTGACTGTATTAAGCTAAGCTTCAGATGAGAGAATGACGAGAAAATTCTCTTTTCTTCCCCAGGAGGTGTAACGACGAGAGGACACAGCCGCATCTACAGTGTGACCCAGCCTGCCCCGTCGGCTTCTCCTTCGGCGCCAGTGTGGACCTCCTTTACTTGCTTCAGTGTGTTGGCATTTCTCCCACAATGCAGTCGACGCCGGCAGGAGGCTTCAACGTGTACCCTCGGGCACCCGTGTCTGTGGTGCCTCCGTCGCTCCTCACCTACCAGATGCTGGCGTCACAGCCTCCGAGAGAACCAGCGCCTCAGTACCCTCTACTTCACTCCTCCTTCTTCCTACCCATACACCACAGTCGGAGCCCCGTCTTACCCCCTCACTCCCCGAAGGAGGGAGACGAGGGGAAGCCTCATCTTGGTGCATCCGCCAAGAGCTCTCCAGCATCGTCGCCACAGATAGCCTCCCCGCCCCCTACCCACACGTCCCTCAGGGTCACGGCCGTCATAGACACGACACACAGACATTCTCACACACATTTTGAAAAAGCCGCAACGGACAGAATCTCGGTAAACGACAGCAGCGACAGGAAGGAACTTCCACTCGATCTCACCACGAGGAAAAGATCTGAGAGACACGAGAGATTTGTCCCGCTGAACGAGTTAGAGAAGGACGACAAGGCCGTAGTAAACGACAGGGATAGTTTATCAGACAGACAGGAAGACACAAAGTCTGAAGTCATTAAGCCTCGACCTCGCCACGATCATCCGTTCCTTCGAATAAGCGATTTGTTAAAGGACTCTCCGTCGAGCGGTCCGGCTCCTGCCCCTCCACAACCGGCACCAGAACCCCCTGCTAAGCTGCCCCTAGTGTACCCTCGACCCCTGCACCCCGCCGCTATACTAGACATGTACCGTAATCTAGATCGCTCTGCTTTCATGGCCGGAGGCTGCATCCCCTCGACACGATACCCGTTGTTTACCTCTCTCTTCCCTCAGGCCGGCCTTTCTGTCGCCAGTATGACTCCAGCGACTCGCGCAGTCGGACTAGATTTCTACAAAAGTCACCTACCTGGGACGACACGACCTTACGGTGACCTCCCGAGGCCCTACAGTGACTTACTGACTCCGCATGTAGTTCGCACAGCCAAGGATCGATACACATGTAAGTTCTGCGGAAAGGTGTTCCCGCGATCTGCCAACCTGACCCGCCACCTGAGGACTCACACCGGGGAGCAGCCCTACAAGTGTAAGTACTGCGAGCGCTCCTTCAGCATCTCGTCCAACCTCCAGCGTCACGTGCGCAACATCCACAACAAGGAAAAACCCTTCAAGTGTCCGCTGTGTGACCGCTGTTTCGGCCAGCAGACCAACCTTGACCGCCACCTCAAGAAGCACGAGGAAGAAGGCTCCAATCCTCCAGATTCCCCCGACGCGCCAGACTCCAGTGGCGTCGCCGTCGAGAAAATGGATAATGCAGACTTCATTGTCAACAGAGTCGAAGGTGCTGGCGACGAAATGGTGAATGTGGATATAATGACAGTGTCAGAGTCTCGCTCTCCTGTCAACAGCGACAGTGGCAAAAATCTATCGGACGTAGGCGACTCTAGGAACCTAGGAACAGCGATGGATGCGACGGAAGGCGAACCCGCTCAGAAACGTGTTAGATTAGAATAGCTCACTGTTCCTTAGCACTTTTATGCTATTAGCATTAAGACGAACTTTAGACTCTGAACTTAGAGATGCTCATCAATTTCAGTCATCAGCTTTCAGTGTGCAGAAACGGCGCTGTGATCATTTTATCACTGAAGTGAGCAAATATGTATTGGACGAAGCTTAGAGTTTCCGTTTATCCTACACACAACATGTATTCTAGTCAGTTGTTGTACCTCACAAAAGACTTCCTCGCTGCTGTGTTGACGCGTCCAGGCGATCTGACCACTGGCGGTAGTAACGTCCGGTCCACCAGAGTGCCTTGATCTCCCGGTGCTCCCGGCAGACGTGGTGCTGTACAGCACTCCTGAGGTCGCCGTGTAGTGTACAGGAAGCAACTTCTGTTTCATACTCAAATCCACTTTAGATTTAGATAAGATGCATAGCAAATTTTATCTAGATCTAAGACCGTGTACTACGTCGTACACGACTGTTCAGGGACAAGATCTAACGGAAAAATGTGTACAAAAGAGAATGGCCATCACAGTTCTCACTTAAGTCATAGAAGACTACTTGTGAAGACCACCAAACTCTCTACTTCTCTCTCTCTCTCTCTCTCTCTCTCTCTCTCTCTCTCTCTCTCTCTCTCTCTCTCTCTCTCTCTCTCCTCGCCCCCAACAACAAGTCAGTCAGCTACACAATAGGAACAAATAGTTTAATAAAAAAGTTGTTCTACAAACGAATCTACATGAAGATGTTTTATTTTTCAATTTCACGGAATCCTAAAACAAAATAAAAAGTGAATTGTATATATTATTTTTTAGAATGAGAGAATAAACTTTATAGCTTTTGGTTTCAGCTTTTTAATATTCCTTAGACAAATTTTCAATATAAGATTATAATATTGTCCTGAGGCAGCAGAATAAAACATTATGTCCGAGAAAAATGACATCACAAGACCGCGATGGATCTGTGAGCCCATCATGGTTCAGTCGGTAGTGCGTGTGCCTGGAGAGGCCAGGTTTGCATGTTCGAGCCCAATGTATAACCTCAGTGTTTTTCCTTACCTTCTTGCCAAGATTTATTGAGCAAAATTAATAGGTTTCTGATGAAGCTTTAATAATTAAAATACACATTTACTGTGTGTGTCAAGTAAGAGTAATTATAATAATAAAGTAGCCAATAAAGCGAGCGACAAATATATATTATTCCAAATAATATATCGATTAATATCTTTAGTTGTTATCTTGAGGTTATCTTGAGATGATTTCGGGGCTTTAGTGTCCCCGCGGCCCGGTCCTCGACCAGGCCTCCACCCCCAGGAGGCAGCCCGTGACAGCTGACTAACACCCAGGTACCTATTTACTGCTAGGTAACAGGGGCATTCAGGGTGAAAGAAACTTTGCCCATTTGTTTCTGCCTCGTGCGGGAACATTCATTCTAAAACTATGAGAGTCAAACCACGTGCAGTTTATCAATAATAAAACGTGCACGTTTTAATGAATGGTATAATGAAAGAAAAGTTGTACTCCTTAACTTATTCTTCTGAGTTTAGTTTTAAAGTGCTTAAAGTGAACCTAGAATAACATGGTTGATTTGGTATTGGACTTAAGGACGCCTATATAAGCTCTGTAAGCTTATTATGACCACCACAACAGCTTACTTATTTATGTATATATATGCAAGAAGTTACATTGGGTTTATGAGTGTACATGAGAGATTACTGACCCATCAACAAGTTTACTCTAGTCCTGAACATAGTCCAGGACTAGAGTAAACTCTTAGTGTATTTACATCGATAAGTGAGGTATACCTTTCAGTGTACCTATCCCTTGATGATGCTGAACACATGCAAACACCAGTAACAGCACTTCAGAAAATAAATATTTAGTGTTTTGCATAAAAAAAATACATTAATTTCGTTTTAGTGTCTGTTTTGCTAAATTAATCACTGATACAATTTTTCTGCAAATTATTTCATAAATATAAAGCAATAAATGAAAATAACAGACACGTATATTAGTATACATACGACCGTCTGGAGGAGAATTGTCGATAATATTCGAGTCTACCCAAAACAGTGTCCGTTTTCTCTCTTTTGTTTGTCACTGACGGGATACTATCGAACAAAATTTATTGAACAAAATATAACAAATCTCTTGAATTAATAAATATTTGTCAGTAATTTTATTATACCAATTATTTAAAAAAATTAAATTGTAACATGATGTACGATTCAGTGGCAAGATAAGGTTCGAAAATTATTTCATTCCTCTTCGAATGCGAGATTGTTTACATTGTGTCCCAGTAGGAGACGCCGGCGAATGTTGACGGTCGTGAGTGAGACACTAAACAGTCATTGGGAGAATAGACCCTTCACGAAAACTGCACGTACCATCAAGAAGAAGAAGAAGAGGCACTAATAAGAAGCATGGCGTCACTTCTGGAGTATCTAAATACTACAAGAGAAGCTCTGGTAAGTCTCATGAGTCTCCTGATAGTTTGAAATGTTAGTGAAATTTCTAAAGTGCTCCTAGAGCACTGTGCTTGGTGGATACAAGTTCATGGAACAGTGTACCAAGGGGATACAGTCTCATGGAACCTGTAGCAGACTGCTGCGAAGATACAGGCTCTTAGAGCATTGTGCTTGGTGGTTCAAGGTTGGTATGGCATCGGAGAGAAGCACGTTGGGTGCAGGTATAAGGGGCACTGTGCCAGGGGGATATACGCTCATATATCACTGTGCTATGTGGCTGATATAGGCTCGTGGACAACTGACTGGTGAATACAAGTTCATGGAGCACTGTGTTAGGTGGATACATCCTTATAGAGCACTGTATTAGGTGGGTGCAGGCTAAAAGAGCACTGTTTTAGGTGGATATAGGCTCATTGGGTACTGTGCTAGATAGATGCAGGCTCATCGGCCACTGTACTAGGTGGATACAGGTTCATGGAGCACTGTGCTAGGTGGATGCATGCCCATAAAGTACTGTACCAGGTGGATACAGGTACAGTATCCACATGGTATTGTTCCTCCTGTATCACTGGTGGGTAGATGCAGGCTCGTATATCACTGTGCATTAAAAGAAAATCAAAATGCAGATGTGGTTTATGCAGACTTTGCAAAGGCATTTGGTAAATGTGACCATGGAATGATAGCCCATAAAATGAGGTTAATAGGAATAAAAGGTAAAGTAGGGCGATGGATATTAAATTTGTGGTCAAACAGAACGCTGAGTAACAGTCAATCATATAAAATCGAGTTTAAGCACAGTGAAAAGCTCCGTACTTCAGGACATATTCCTTGCACCACTGCTTTTTATTATTCTCGTATCAGATATAGACTAAAATACAAGTCACAGCTTCGTGTCATCTTTTGCACATGACAAAAATCAACATGAAAATTACATCTGTAGAAAACATAGAAAAACTACCTGCTGATATTAATAAAGTTTTCGATTTGGCAGCATACAATAATATTAACGAAAAATAAAAGATTAATTGAAAAGACTGATAAACCCACAAGAGCATTGAAAGATCCTTTTAAAAGACAGAAGGACCCTATTAAAGGACCGATGAAACCTATTAAAAGACTAAAAGTATTTATTAAAAGACTGAATGAACACACTAAAAGATTGAAGGAAACTTTTAAAAGACTGAAGGAACCTATTAAAAGACTGAATGAAACTATAACTGACTAAATGAACATACTAAAAGGCTGAAAGGATCTGTTAAAAGGCAAGAAGGTGGTTCAGCAAAATAAAGACTGCTGGGGTGTGACTCACACTGAGTAGTGTGTATTAATAAAATTATGTCATTATTGTTTTTGTTAATGAATATGTCTTTGTTTACAACATAATTCATAAAGGCGCCTTTGTATTTTAAGAAATAACATGTTACTTGAATAAGACAACAAAATAACAATAAACTTGTACAAATCAGTTAAAAATATTAGGTTACGTGTTGGATTGTGTTCCCATCTAACTCTTGCCACCTTCTGACGCCTTCTTATCAAAAACTCTAAATAAAGTCCTACTTCCACACTCCTGTATTCTCTACCCTTGACAATATCTTCAAATATAGACAAAAGTTTGGTCTGTCGTGTTTGTGTTCTGTTCAAAAGTTTATATACACATAAAGATCCCCCCAGAAACATATTTTTTATTTGTAAAATAATCGTAATGGAAATAAGTTAGAAATTAAATTCTTAACTCTGAGACTGAGGTCTGAGACGATCTTTTAGTCTTGTAGTATTCTCATCGGGACACTTAATGACTGTGGTGTTTGTGCAGAATCAACAAAGCAACATGTTTCCTCAGTCACCGACGGGCTGTTACTGCTTGCAATATATTGGCTTCTTGGCTAAGAGACATTCATGTGCAATGAGGAGAGAAAGTGTGTGCGTGTGTACTCACTTAGTTGTGCTTGCGGGGGGTTGAGCTTTGGCTCTTTGGTTCCGCCTCTCAACCATCAATCTACTAGTGTACAGATTCCTGAGCTTCTCGAGCTCTATCATATTTACATTTGAAACTGTGTATGGAGTCAGCCTCCACCACATCACTGCCTAGTGCATTCCATTTACTAACTACTCTGACACTGAAAAAGTTCTTTCTAATGTCTCTGTGGCCTATTTGGGTACTCAGCTTCCACCTGTGTCCCCTTGTGCGAGTACCACCCGTGTTAAATAATCCATCCTTGTCTACCCTGTCAATTACCCTGAGCCTTTGGTATGTGGTGATCATGTCTCCCCGAGCCCTTCTATCTTCCAGCGACGTGAGGTACAGCCTGTCCTCATAACTCATGCCTCTTAGTTCTGGGACTAAGCCTAGTGGCATACCTCTGAACTTTTTCCAGCTTCGTCTGTGTGTGTGTGTGTGAGAGAGAGAGAGAGAGAGAGAGAGAGAGAGAGAGAGAGAGAGAGAGAGAGAGAGAGAGAGAGAGAGAGAGAGAGAGAGAGAGAGAGAGAGAGAGAGCTAGCTGATCAGGTGTGGGTCATCCCCAGAAGTCATCGCCAGGGGCCAGCCTTCACGTGGTCTTGGGCAACGAGGCGTGCGACTTGGACTCCGCTGTTAGTGCTCTCGTCTACGCCTTCTTAATATACTCCTTACAGCAGGTAGGTGGTGGTAGTGCAGAGGGTGGGCGGTGTGGTGGGTGTGTGCTGTGGAGGTGTGAAGGCTGGTGTGTGGCCTGGAGGGTGTGGAGTGGTGGTGTATGTTCTAGAGGGTGGAGTGTGGTGTGGTGGATTCTTGTGTTGTGTATGGTGTAGGTGGTATGGAGGGTGGGTAGCGTGTGTGGTGTTGGTAATGTGGATGGTTTTAGTTGAGGTGGGTTGTGGTTGATGGTGGTATTGGTGAGTGGTGACTAGTTGTAGTATTGACTGGTGGTAATGATGATGATTGGTGTTGAGTGATGACTGATGGTATTAGTGGTGACTGGTGGTAGTAATGACTAGTAGTGACTGATGGAAGTAATGGCTTGTGGTGACTTATAGTAGTAGTGATTGGTGGTGACTGGGGGTAGTGGTGAGGAATTTTTACAGTATCTAATAAAGTCTATTTACTTGTTTATAATTAACGAACAAAACCCAGTACAAGACGAAGTTAGTAAACACTAATTTAAAAACTTTTCTCGATAAATTTGTGGCTTCGAAATATATATTTTTCTATGTGAGCTTTTGTACCTGTGCTTGTGTTCGCGAGGTGCCCAAGGAAGGAGAGGGGGTGGTGGTGGTCCCTGTACTCAACATTCCCCGACAAGACTACCCGCTCAAGACGGAGGTGATCTACTGGCTTAAGAAGCACCACATCCACTCACAGGCGCTCTTCTTCAGGCAAGTCCTGGTTTAGTCTCCTTCAGGTGAGCCCTGGTTTACTCCTTCATGTAGGACCCTGTTTAGGTTTCTATTCTGCAGCCTGTTTAGTCTTCAAGGAAGTTCTACTTTAGTCTTTATCAGAAAGGAGCTTGTTCGATGTCTATTTTTGAGTGGATCTTCCGCCAGCATAACTGAGGGTTCTCGACGCTTATTCCCTTGCTGCCCCTCCAGAGAGGATGTGGACCTGAGTGAGCAACAGAGGGCGGGGAAGCTCCAGCTCACCCTTGTGGACCACCACGTCTTGCCAGCTGCCGATGCCCACCTCGACACCTCCGTCGTGTTTGTCCTTGACCATCGCAAGCTCGAGCGCCGGCCTGACTCAGGTAAGTCCGACGATGGTGTGAATTAATGGCGTTATAAATGAGTTGTTGCAAATTATATCTTATCATTTTGTGTTACTGTATATTTCTCTCGTCTGGTGGCAGTGCCTGGAGGAGTGGTGGTGGAGATGGTGGGGTCCTGCTGCACCCTGGTGGCAGAACAGATATTGTCACGAAACCCCACCTTGCTGGACGCTGTCACTGCTGGCTTGCTCTATGGTAAACCTCGCACGTTCTTCTGAGCTGAAGCATATTGTCAATTTTAGTCGCAGTGAAGCCACCCATTGTCTGTGATATCATGTTGATAGTGCTTCTTCTTCTTCTCTTCGTCTCGCTGCGCCAGGAACGATTATTTTGGATACGGTTAACTTGAACGAGGCGGCCAAGCGAGTCACCCCCAAGGATGTTGATATTGTCCATCGTCTCCGGCCCCTCCTCCAGTCGTCTGTAAATAGGTGTGATATTTGGCCCCTTCCTCCCATCTTCTGTAAATAAGTGAAATTTGTCGTTTTCCGTTAGTTACCATTTAAAGGTTACAGTTTTCCTTTGTCGTTTGCCATGCATTGTCTTCCTTAATACAAAATAAATAGATGTCCTGCTCATTTTTTTTGTTAAATATCACTTAAATCTTAAACTTTTAATTTCTCTATATTTAAGTGACAGAGTTGTCTGAGGTGTTTTGTTGACATTGTTGGACACTCTGGCATCCATATTTTGTATATCGAGCCAATTACAGTTGGTCTCAAAAATATATTACATTGATTTACCTTCAGACTTTGCTCATCATCGATAATTATTGTTATTGTTAGAGATTAGTTACTAGAGGAATATTGACTTGGAGAACAGATTTGCAGCTTCTCCAGACATTTCCTTTTCTATACTGGAGGCCTTGTTAGGGACCCGATTACTCATAAATGCTCTGTTGACTATCTTAAAAAAATAAAAATTACTGAAAATATTTTACTTCTCATTTTTTTTGTTCTGTTTCATTCTCGTGAGGGTCTTAAAGTTTGTTTCTTGAATCCCAGTTGCGATATCTTGTTCTAGATATGTTGTTACATCTATCAATCAACGCTTTCCCCCATCCTTTCCATTCCCTTTGGACATCAAAGCAAAGCAAATCAACGCTTTAGAGGCTCTTAAATGCTTGTTTCGTGAAAAGAGTTTTATAATTCACCTAATTCATTCCACGGGTCATCGGGTGATATGTCCCGTGTCTGGATGGCTACTAAGTCAATTTTTTTCCCCGAGTCAGAAACGAAATCTTCCAAGAGCTGACAACTGCAAAAGGGAATGTGTCCGGCCTGACCACAGAGCAGCTGTTGAGGAAGGACCTGAAGGTTGTGTCGGCAGGAGACCTAAAAGTTGGGGTGGCCTCTGTGCCCATGATGGTCAAGGTGCGTAGTAGGTGGTGTGTGTTTGTGTGTGTGTGTGTGTGTGTGGGTGTGTGTGTGTGTGTTGAGTGGTGACTGTGATCAGTGGTAAAGTAAATTAGTAAACTGTCACACAACGATACAGTGACTGACTCCAGAGCTTTGTGTAGAGAGAGAAGAACCGCCATCATCTGCTGTCTCTCCCATGTGTGTGTGTGTGTTTCAGGTTTTGGAGCTTCAGGTTTTTTGTATAGCATTACTACTTTTAAAAGTATATATGATGGGAGACATGTGGGGCTGGGATTCATTGCTACGAACACCTGCTGAGCAGCTGGAGAGGTGGAGTCCAAGATCTGAAGCTCGAAACTGCATGTGTGTTTATAACACAAATAGGTGTTATAAACAGAGTTGTCTCTGTTATTACCATGTCTCAAATAAACTTACATGATTATTCTATTAATTATAAAACTACTTTTAATATAAAAGACTTCTTACTTATTGTTTTTCAGAAATTCCTCGAGCAAACTGAGTTGGCCAAGACACTCTCGGATCACTGTATCAGTCAAGGCTACAGTGTCTTGGTTATCATGGGTATTGACATCTCCGGGGAGACTGTCCGCAGGGATATTGCTATATTTTCACCCCGAGACGGCTTCAGGAACCAGGTGTGTTGATTGGTTGGGAATCTTTGATATAGAGACTTCCTAGAATACCACAAATTGTGATTAGATTAATTTGTAATATTCTTTTTGATATACTGTATAACGGATGTCATAATCTCTATCACACACACACACACACACACACACACACACACACACACACACACACACACACACACACACACACACACACACACACACACAAAGGCGGGGTCCAAGACCTAATAGCTCGATTCTGCAGACACAAATAGTAAACACACACACACAGTCTAATTTGTCCAAGAGCTTCATCACACGCTGTTTCCCCTGTGCTTCAGCTGGTGCAACACCTGTGTGAGGCCCAGGACAGAGTGCTGCAGCTGCTGCCATTTGAGTCAGGCGTCGACGGGTGTTCGGCTTTCCTCCAACGTAACACAGCCGCCTCAAGGAAGGTTGTCCTCCCCTTTATCAAGGAGTGGTTGGCCAAGAAGAAGCTTGATGGCTTGGATGACCATCAAGAACCCTTGACAGGTCACTAAAGAATATCATGATGGGTAAATATAAAACTTATGACTAGCTGGCTATTAAGAATCAATGGATTTACCAAGATTCATAAAATGCATTTCGATGGTTGTTCAAAATATTGTCTCATTGAATAAGACAAAGTTTCTTCTGCATGTCTAACAAGAGTGTAGAGGGACTAACAAGATGCTCTGTCATCGGAAATATATCCTGGATGACCACTGAATGGACACCAAGAACCACTGGTCAGCGACCAGGGACGCCGAATCACAATGGACTAACCAATATCCGCAAAGACCCACTGATTGGATAGATATAGATAACCACTAACTGGATACCCACTAAGCATGTCTGGATAGTTAGTAAGAATTGCCTATGGCTCTCGAGACGGGCAGCCTGTAGCTACCAGTCTTATGGCAGCTGTGAGACAGCTATTTTCCCACTATTTTACGCTAAAGAAAATTGATAAAAAAAACTTCAGCAAAATTGCCAGAATTGAGGGAAAATAGAACGAGGGGAAAAACCTGAAAACTGCCAGTGTTTTAAAGTTTTAATATTGACAAGCAGTGTAATTTTGCAATTTACTTCTACGTTGGTTTTAATATGTACAATAAATTTATAAATGGTGTATATATATAAATGTATATTATATGTATAGCTGTATATATAATATATATACAGCTATATATATTTATATATAAAAGCCAGCTTATATATTTGGGGCAGCTTGGTTCTAAGTGGTTACTATATATAGCGACCAATTAACATTCCCCTTGTTATAACCTTTCATCCGCTTTCTCCTCCCCTTTCTTATCTTAAACAAAGGTTATCTAAGATACAAAAATAGTGGAGGCAACTTTTGTAATAGTTTAGCTCTGACACAAACAGTTTATAAGTTTTAGCAATAAACAATTCAACATAAACAAGGAATCTGTGTTTTTGTTTTTTTGTTACCTACTCAAGGCACTAATGTATAGAGGATTTGTTTGTAACATTGTTCACAAAAGAGGCGTTACAATTTCTTTTATAAAGATCCAATATGCTGGAGTGAACAGCAAACATGTTACGGGTTTTCTGACATCTTTAACACAGGAAGCAGAATGTTATAAGAATGTGTACAGATGTCCTTGAATTAGTGTCTGTAATGAGACAGACACGACCTTCCGCCTGTGTCTACCCGACACACACACACACACACACACACACACACACACACACACACACACACACACACCAACAACAACAAACATCACCTGCGACCCACTTTCGCCTCTGACCAACCAGCAGCCCATCTGCCTAATGGGCCCCTCTCTGTCCCCGACTTGCAAAATCATGGGTGACCCATTACCTGCACACGGCATAATGGAAGCGCCGAATCATCCCATAGCAACCCACAGCGCTGATTCACAGATTGTAAAGCACGCGGTGATCTACAGCTGTGGGTGTTTGTTGCCAGGAAGTCGACCTGTTATTCCTGGGTCAAATGACCGTGGGTACCTCGCTCTGTGTGTGTCATTTTTTTGTCGTTATTCATTTTGATCTCGTTCAAAATGTTCATTATTTATTACATCTGGTTATTTTCAACTGGTTGTGAGCGACGTCGACAAGCCCTCCTGTGGTGCAGCGATAGTTAGAGGAGTCGGTTCCCAACTGAGAGGACCCGGGTTCTATTCCCGCTGCAGGCCGGAGACTTTTGGGCATCGTTTACTTTCACCTGATGTTCCTGTTCGTCTAGCTGTAAGTAGGCACCAGGGAGTTAGTTAACTTTTGTGGTCGCATCCTTGGACAGGTCACTCGATGTATAATAGGGAAAAAAGGAGGACTCTGTCTACTTTTGCTTGTTCTACCGTAGTGACCAGAGGGTGTCTGTCTCTCTGTGTACCAGCACTTGTCCAGTCCGTATGGCGCAGCGGAGCCTAGTATGGTGGCACGGTGTAAGCTGCAGGGTAGTATACCCGGAACATACCTGAGGTATACCTGAATCATACCTGCAGTGGGTTCTGGAAGTTCTACTAATCAAGCCCGACCTGGGGGGGGGGGCCAATTTGGGGCAGCTTGGTCCAACAGACTGGTGTCTGAAGCGGCACGCTATGGTATGGTGGTATGATTGGTATCCACTTGATATCTAACTCACAGCTTGAGTGACAAGGTACTTGGTGCCTCTCCACCGGGAGACAGACCATGACCCGGATTTGTTTGATTTACCTATTGATGATTTCGCGAGTGCGTTTACTCCTGCAGCCCGGGCGGTATATACCCAAAGATTTTACACAAAATTCCTAGTTTCATTACTTTTGGTTTGTTGAACTGACTCATACTCAACAGAAGCAGTAACATATATTTTTTCATCTATGTTCAAAACTATCTTTTGCCCCCCTGGGTTAGTGTTGGCACCGACACACTAACGGGGTGGCCGTCGACGCTAGCGGGGAATAATTACCGACAATAAGGGCACTGGGGAACTGGGTAGTGTGTCCATTACTAGTGCATTGTTTCCTCCGGGATCTTCACGCCGAACTACTCCCTGGCTTGGCCGCGGGCGCCCATCTCTGACGTGGCTACGGGCTACGCGCCCTTTCCCACCCTTACCTTGAGGTGCTTCCAGGGCTTAGCGTCCCCGCGGCCCGGTCGTCGACCAGGCCTCCTGGTTGCTGGACTGATCAACCAGGCTGTTGGACGCGGCTGCTCGCAGCCTGACGTATGAGTCACAGCCTGGTTAATCAGGTATGCTTTGGAGGTGCTTATCCAGTTCTCTCTTGAACACTGTGAGGTGTCTGATTATACTTTATACTTATACTAATAGCCTTATACTAATAATATTACACCCTTATACTAATTAGAGGAAAAAAACACAAACAAACCCCGTACATCACTTACCAACACTTGAGAATCACCGCACACTAGCACTCTAATTGTCGCTAAGCCAAGACAAAGGCGACGGAACGCGCGCTCAAGCACCCAATGATCCGAGTGTTTGGGCGCCAGGAAGAGGAAGCTCCCGCGGTGTTATGTTGTGGCGGGAACGAGAGGCACCACGCCCTCGGCGCTCCCATCTGCGCCTCCCGTCACGACCTGCCGCCCACCGCCTCAATGGGCCAGGATTCCGTGAATGAGAGCAAGGATGTGAATGGGACGGGATGAGTGCGTGAGATGCGTACGGGAAGTAATCACCTGACCCCCCTCTACGGCTGACTGACTCTCACGCGATCCCTTCCTTCACATCTACGATAGATTCATATCCAAACTAAACTTTAAACCTTTGGCGACTTTGGAGACACGATGAGCGACTACCATAACGCACACCAGGTTATAAATGGCGGTTTCTAATTCGTTTTATTGCACCAGTTGGGGAAGAATATGGTATAAGTCTAACGAAGTCGTTGTCGGCGTGTTGGGACGAAGGGGACGTGAGGTTATGAATGAGTCCACACATGAATGAAGGTGAGGCATCTCTCGCTGGCATAGTGACCATCGGCGTGTTGTCATGTGGGTCATGACGTCACCGCTCATGTGAACCTGACATAGAAAACTTGTTGTGGTAGCAAGTCACAGGCTTCTCCAGTGGCATAGTTCCTCACAGACGTCTTGTAAGTGGCACAGTTTCCCACAGAAGTCTTTAATGTGATACAGCTTCCCCACAGAGGTCTTTAATGTGATACAGCTTCCCCAGACAATGTGATACAGCTTCCCCACAGACGTCTTTAATGTGATACAGCTTCCCCACAGACGTCTTTAATGTGATACAGCTTCCCCACAGACGTCTTTAATGTGATACAGCTTCCCCACAGACGTCTTTAATGTGATACAGCTTCCCCACAGACGTCTTTAATGTGATACAGCTTCCCCACAGACGTCTTTAATGTGATACAGCTTCCCCACAGACGTCTTTAATGTGATACAGCTTCCCCACAGAAGTCTTTAATGTGATACAGTTTCCCCACAGACGTCTTTAAAGTGCCATAGTTTCCCACAGACTCTTTGCAGATCAAGCTGTTGAACCAAAACTAATAGATAACTACCACAATGACACACACACACACACACACACACACACATATATATATATATATATATATATATATATATATATATATATATATATATATATATATATATATATATATATATATATATATATATATATATATAACAATCAGCGTTCGAAGACCTCGTCCAGCTCCTCGGAGGTTGGGTGCGTACCCAGGATACAGCGCGCATTTCCCCTCTGAACTGCGACACTGAGGCGCTACCACAATTGTATCAATTAAATCAATTACAATTAAGAAAAGGGATACAATTCTGGAAAACGTAACGAGCAGTTGCAAATATAAATTGCAAATTGCAGTTGAGGACGACATAATTAAACAAAAAACAAGATTTTTTTTATATTAACCTCGGACGCAGGTTCGAACCCTCGTCACGGCCCTTGTGGATTTGTTCATAAAACAATAAATATTTAATGTTAAATATAAAATAATAAACCTTTATGTTAAACATAAATTAATAATATTCGATAATAGTTTTTGGAAATATGTAACTGTAGAGTACCCCTTTCACCTCCACTCCAAGACCCCCCCTCCTGCACCCCCTCCATTCCAGGACCCCCCCTTTTGCACCCCCCTGTACTCCATCCCCCCCTCTATCCCCCCCTCCGCTCTAGGACCCCCTCCCTCCCTCCTCTCATACTCTATAAACCCCTCCCCCCCTTCTACTCCATAACCCCTTCCCCCCCTTCTCCCTCATTATATGCCCCCCCCCCTCCAATCTTTGTTGCTCGACCCAGACTCCCCCCCCCTCCCCCCTCCCCCTCCCTCTCCCCCCCACACATGCTCGAGCAGTAGTAAATCAGTCCTCACGATATTCTCTGGTGCAGCCTCACAAAGACTCATTACTGCACAGGCCTCCGGCGTCAATATTAAATATACAGAGAAGGGGCGGAATTCGGTCCAATTAGACCAGTGGAGGCAAGTCCACCAAACTTGGCACGTATATACACACAAAAAATTAGCATTTGAGATACTGAAAATCAATCCATCAGCGTCATTTATTTGTCCAGGTAAACCAACAAACGTAGTGAAGTATTGATGGTTTACTTGGGGGGGAGGGGGTTACGTTGCAATAATTTGTTGTTTAGCAGATAAGTGTGGCCATGTCGACATAATAATCATAATAATAATTATTATTATAATTATATATATATATATATATATATATATATATATATATATATATATATATATATATATATATATATATATATATATATATAATTATATATAGACTGGTGATAGTCGACTGGACTATGAGCAGCCTTAAAAAGGAAAGTCTCCAGAAGCAGCATCCTGCTGCCAAACAGGAATTTTCAGCCTCACACGCTCGGGGTCCATGGTTCGAGACCCATACAGTCCAGGTAAATGGAATGGACACATGATAACGACATATAAGATTTTCACGAGAACTGAGAAAGTAAAGCGGAAAGCATCGAAGACAAGGCTCCCTGGAGAAAGGGTTCCCCTTTCCAGACCCCAAATGAATGGAATGTTTATTTCCGCAGAAGTGTGGATGACAATTTGACGTGTCCATTATTTCACCTTTTCAGTGGGATGAGGTCCAGTTCCGTGAGTCTCTCTCTCGTCCCTCGAGCTCTCGGGCTCAGACACGAACCATGTCTCATATCTTTGGTCATGTTCTAGTTTAGTTTGATGGGGGGAGAAGGGCGGCATATTCCAGTGTGTGTGTGTGTGTGTATTAACTATTTGTTTCTGCAGAATCGAGCTATGAGCTCTTGGACCCCCGCCTTTCTCACCAATTTGTATTTCCTATATTATGTTTACTACATATATATTTCTCTTGCACAGACACACATCCCCCCCCCACACATACACGTGTGTGTGTGTGTGTGTGTGTGGTAGAGAGGGGGGGGGGA